AAGGTCAATCAGCGGACACCGTGATGAAGAGGATGGGCCTTCATCTTGGGAACCCCGACGACCACCACTAGAAGGCACTGCGCAAGTGCAACTGGGAGGAGTCTATGGAAATTACTTCTTAGAACTAATTATAATATGGAAATTATTTCTCGGAACTGATTTTGATATGCAATGAGGATAGATGCATATGTATAGGTGTATTGGGAAATCTAATGTATATGTAATATTTGATTGTATAAATTGAAGAGACACGTTGCTGCTCGGCGCGCACGACTTTGGTGGGACTACCCCCCGTGCTGCCCGGCGCCGAATAAACATCCCTACTTTACAATCTTACAGATTGTGGAGTCTGCTTTCCACACGTCAATCTCAGCTTTGTCCTGGAGCTCAGACAACACATGGCAGCATGGGAACGGGAGCCCATCAAGTACTGGGAGTCTGAAAGAAGAAAACTTGTTGCTTGGGGAGCGGATAGGGGGTGGTTATGCTCAAAACCAAACTAGCTTCTTTCTACAGGGGTCTGCCTAACCTCAAGTGGGAATGGCCCCTAGCCTCGCTAGAGAGGGGTGGCAATCCAGAGATCCTGGCTGAGATCTTAAGAGAAGCAAAACAAAATAAACACCAGAATTGCAGGCCTGGACTGCAGGAGAGCTCATTTTGGCTTTATCTAGGATGTGCTTGACAGAATGGCCTGGCAGATTGCAGTGGAGGGCCATGAGGCCCAAGGCTGCTGGGTGATCCCCAAGCAGCTCTCATCAAGTCTGGGGGCAGTGAAGCATCCTCCCCCAGCAAAGATCAAGGTCAGGAGCACTTGAACAATAAAACAATAGCAAAAGCTGACCATTCAAAAACTAATTAAAAAAAATACTATTCATAGCACTTTTAAGGAAAAAAAAGTAAACAATTTACTTCAAAGAAGTGCTATCATTTGTTAACATCAATGCAGAAAGACTGAAAAGTGAAGTCTGGAAAAAAAAATGGCTAAGGGGCTTCCAGGTCTGACAGCAATTTACAGTTGCTAATCAATATTGGCTATTCACTGGAAAAGGAGTGCCTCTTTCTCATCTATGTTACTTTCATTCTCCCAAACCAACAGTCAAGGTAATGAGTTGTCAGGAACGTCACAAACTCCAATGCAGTAATGCAGGCAGCTTGTTTTCATCTACTTGAGCACATAAGGATTTAGATTAGAACCCAGGAGCTGAAACAAAAGTTTTAACTGTGCTGTTGGTTCCTTTGCTCACATGAGACAGACTTCACGTAACATAATGCAGGTGAGATGTACATGATGGAAGAGTCTCTGAAATGCAACAGCAAAAATATTTAAAGCATTAGTTCAACAACAGGTATTTTGTTCCATTTCAATCTGATGAAATTTCTGCAATTAAGTTCAGCACATGAGAATGACAGGCTTGCGTATCTATCAGTTCTCTTCTCTGCATCTTAAGCTTTTTCCCTCTGGGAAGAAACCACACTCCTCTCACTGACCCAGCAGAAACAGTCCATTTTGTAAAGAACCTCAGTGCTGGGCATGCAACAGCACTGCATCAAGTAAGAGAATATGGACCGTGCCCAAAAAATGCAGGCACTGGCACTTTGTAGCACCTATTTCATTTCTACTCCAAACATCTCTGGATTTGGAAGTCTTTATTTGCTTTGGAGTATGCTGAACACAGATACTATGCCAAAGTTCTTTCAGGCCTCTTTCCAAGCTTCCCTCCCACCTCTTACCTGCCTGGGTGGATAACCAGTAATCCAGAACATTACTAGATGTAAGATCATGGTCAACTCAAGCTACTAAAAGGCAGCAGAAGTTCGCAGCATCAGATATGACTGCAGGGATACACTTTCCCCCCCCTAATCCTCCTGTTCTAGGCTCCTGGAATACATGTAAAGCAATAAGACTTCTGTCAAAATATAGGAGAGGGAGAAACAACATGTTCCCTAGGTGTGTGCCCTCCAGAACTGAAGTGTCTTCAGGTGCTGCCCAACCCCACCACTGTGCTAGAATTCCACTGCATCATGCAGCACCTGGAGAGATACCACTGCTTTCCATCAAGCTAGGGCAGATAAAGCCCTTATCCTGTAGAAGTGCTCTTTGCTGCATGGGGCAAGAGAAGAAGCACAGCTAGTATCTTCCCTGTAAGGCAATGCAGGGCCACCATTCAGCCAGGAGTAGGTGTTGTAGAGTTTTTTTCATGTCTCTTTTCTGAAGGGTCTGCATTTCTTCCTTCACTCTAAAGCAGCTAGTTCCTCCAGGAGCTGCTCTTTCTCTTGCTGAAGCTCCTGCACCCGCTGTTTGTTCTGCTCTAGTCTGTCCTCCAGCCACTGAAGGAGTGGCCCACTGATGGCAGACATCTGGCTGCAGAGGTTTTTTGTGAACACTGGAAAGAGCAAGAACATATCATGCCAGTGCAAACACACAAAACAGTCAGCGTGCTACAACTCTAAAGCCAAGAGCACTAGAGACAGCCAAGGAAACCCTCCAACATCCCGGCCAAGGCAGCCAGACAACCCCACAGCTAAGTCAGAATCAGCAGCTTGTTAAACAGGACATCAAGCTATTTCAATCTGACCTTTAGACACCCAGGGGAGGGATGACAGACCTACAACACAAATCTGGAAATCTGCATATAAGTCATCACTGATGCTAACTAATTTCTAAATTCACAAGTAAAGAATGTCTCATTTATTGAACTGGTGAGAATGAACAATGAGGTATTTACCTTGGAACTGAAGCGGGATTAGGATTTACCCTATCTCACTGGCAAAAGCAAAGATGTCATATGCATGTAACATACAGGAAGTGCCAGGAGACACAAGCATGCATATAGATCAGCCAGACACTACTTTAAGACTCACCAAATCCAAAATCCCCTTGCTGTTCTAACAGCAAAAAAAAAAACCAACAAACTAATCCAAAAAAAACTGAACAAACCCAAAGTCTCCTGTAATTATAACCAATTGTACAAAGGTTGAAGGATATGACAGCATTCATAAACCCCAGGATCAGGGTATTTCACAGCCCTTGATGTTTTCCTTTAAATTATTTAGTTACAATTCTGCTCCTCCATGAGACTTCATGTAACAATAACAGTCTTAGGGAATTCTCTGGGTTACAGTGTTTGTAGGTGGAAATGAACCATATGACAAAGACAAAAGTTTGTGCTTTTATGGTTATTTACAAGTGCCTTGTATCGCAAAGGGAGGACTGTTACACAGCTGTGGCCTACCGTCCCCCAAAGTTAGAACCAAACCAACCCCTGCTCAAGACTCTACTGTTTTGACTCTGAGAGCAGAATCCTGGATTCTTACATGCAAAAAAGGAATCCTTACCTGAGCCATTATGAATCTTGGTTACAGAGTCTAGATGGGTGAGGCTAGGAGGATGACCAGAATGCAGGTTAGTGACAAGATAGCAGTGAATTGCATATTAGGCAAACCTAGGCTATAGAACCAGCTACCTACAAGTGACTGACACTGCAGGTACAACTAAACCTCTTCACCTGTTGAAGCCCTGTATATTCACGTGGATAACAAAGAGCCTACAGCACAGAAACATCAGTGCTGAGCACCAGACACAGAAAGAAAAGATACTTATTTTCATTTTCAGCACTCTTACTCTGGTTAAACACTAATTACTGTCACACACAGACATATCACTGAAGTGGCATCATTAGCTCACACATGCTCTGGCTCTTTTTTTGTTTAGCAAAGGAGCAGTTACACTTAGCTTTTGTGTGCAAGGCTGAGAGAACTTGAACTCCTTAATGTGAAGCTATTCAATCAGTTCTCCTACAAAGGCACATGAGCTGTTAATGCTTCTTATCTTCTATATCCCTGCTAAGTTTAAGGTACTTTAAGTACTACAACAGTAGAACATGTTAGCAAAGACACTGTTGGAGAGGGGTGCAGCCCCAGTGTTGTTACCTGTGAATTCTCCTGTAGGCATCTTGCTCCTCTTGGCAAAGGATCTTGGGCAGCTCTACAGCCGATTCCAGACACACTTTCCCAATGGTTTCATGGGGGACAACATGAATAGGTATTTCAATCCTTTCATATCTAAAAGGGTATCAGATAAAATTAACTTCAAAGCAGCAGAAGGAAAAAAAAAAAAAGAACTTCTACAAACCTGAAACAGTCTGTCCAACACCTCGCGTTGCTGCAGGTTTACTTTTGGGAACACACGCCTGAACTGATAGGCAAATGGAAGCCTTTTATAGACACACACTTGCCTTAAATTTGAATGATAAAATGCTAAAGCAACTAAATGGCCATTACTGACAGTATGATGCACAATGTGTGTGCAGTTGGTGGGGACTCTACACCATGCAAGCTTGAAGTCTCAAACTCTAGAGCTGAAAGCAAACGGGTGGGCCTTCTACACAACGGATTACAGCCCAAATTCATACCCAGACTACAGTGTCCAACACCAAATCTTAAGCCACTAAATTATCTAAGCTAAATTAATTAGTCCTAATCTTTAGATTTTCTTCAAGCACCCTGCACTAGCAGAAACAAGGAGACCTCATTCAGGCATCTTCTATACAACATTTGCTCCTCATGATGAGCCTAGAAGCAACTTACTATAGACAACCAGAAAGGAGAAACAAGATGAAATACCACCTGACGCTGAACATAACATTCTTCTGCTGTACTTACTCTGAGCTCTTCTGGGCCTGAATGGACTGGAAACAGGTGTAGAGAATCCTTCCTGTCTATGAGAGAGAGCAGAAAGTCAGATTCCAAGAGCAGAAAAACATCTAAACCCACACATAGCTTTAGGAAGCTTTCATTGCTTTCAAATAGCATTTTAAAAAGTTGCAAAAGTATACACTTTTCACTTTGGTATGCTGGAACTGTTTACAAGGCAATATTGACAGACTCATTAACTGTGAAAAAAATCTTAAACAATAGCTACCTGGAAAACCTAGACAAGACATACTGCCATCTTATCTCACACTATAGCAGCATCTCCTAAAAAGGCTAGAGGCAGAGAGGTGCAATATGCTGTAGCTGCTGGACTGAAGAGCTGAAGGGCACTCACACATTTCAATGCACACACATGCCACAGCCACCTGGTGCAGCCCTAGAACCCTAGTACCAGGCCAGCTCTGCTGACTGGAGAGCCAGGCTGTGGAGGAGCACAAAGTAATCAATAACTCACTCTTTTGTGATTGGAATTATGATCCAAACATCACCATTCCAGCCGTGCTTTTACTGTTCTCCAAGCAGAGCTATGCCCTTCTTGCAGGCTGCATCCAAGGATTTCTGCTTTGCCCTGGGGCTGATGTTTCTCATGAGCACTTGGAGGGTTTACTGCCATTTTTAAGTTGCCTACCTTTGTGTTTTTGTCCTCAATGAAACAGGAAAAGATAAGCCCTACAAAACCTTGGTCCATCATCTGATACATAGCTTGTGTGCGGACATCTGCAGACAAAGAAATAAGAGAATGAGAACTGCACTGGTCACCTGAAGGAGTGGAAAAAGATTTGCCACCTTTTGAAGCGTGACCTAGAATTTGATAACAAGTGTCACAAGCTTTATTTTAAAGCAAATCTGAAAAATATACAATAAGTTAACAAAACAAGAAATGATTTTAGCATCAGCCTGGTGCCACTGATCACTATATAGCCATAATGTCCAACATGTATAAGACACTCATGCATTTCTTTCAAGAAATTTTTTGTTTTTGTGTTAACACTCACATATGTCAAAAATCATCACAACAGGCCTATGATTCCCACAGCTTTTTTGCTATTCCCCACACCCTAGGTCTAGTTTTCCTGTCTGGAAAAACAGTAGCACTAGTAGTAGCTGAACTGTGACTACTGAGTCACATGCAGTTTGAGCACTTGGAGCACACAGACAAGAATGGGGCTATACTCGCAGAGGTTCCTGAAGCTCACAGAGACAATCTTATCCTACCAGATGATGTCTGAGAAACCAAACTTTAATAGTTGCGATGTGCAGCTCTGAAAATCCAGTAAATTGAGTAATACAATTAGCCAGTTGTGAGTTTTCACATAGAACCTAGACCAAGACTGCTCTTACCAACATGCGATGGCCAGACAGTAATGTGAGGATGAGAGTGATACCAGCCCACAACTCTCATGGGACGTCCTGTCATTTCAGCCAACCTGTGTGTGAGTCAAGGTGCTTTTGAAACCGATATAGCAAATGGAAGAAGTTTTTTGTACAAGAAAAACATAGTTTTAAAAGAGTTTTTCATCAGCCAACAGAATTCCACATCCCTCTAGTGGGGTGACAAGACATGCAGCAGGAAACTGATAGAAGCGTCTTCCCCAGCACTAACAGGATGCCACTGCTGCATAAGCAAACCAGATTTTGTTTGTATGTGGCAGTAAGCGACATGGCAGGAAGCTGGCCAACACAGCATAGAATCATATAATAGTAAGGGTTGGAAGGGACATTAAAGATCACCTCGTTCCAACCGCCCTGCCATGAGCAGGGACATCTTCCACCAGATCAGGTTG